CACCACCCGTTTTTAGAGTCGTCAAGAAAAAATGCAGGATGCCCAAGTGGCACGAGAGGTAAGAAAAATGGAGAAAGAGAAAACAAGGCAGCTAGAGATTAAAGAGAAACAGAGACTTGATGTGACGGCCTTTGTTTTTAGGCCAGTGCGTCCTAAGACAAACCTAACGTAAATCCAATGATGAATCCATAATGCGGAAGCAAAAGGTGTAACAATGGTCTCTAGGAATACAACACATTTATAAAACACCAATGTCGTTCGCAATGAGGTCACAAAACCCAATGAAAACGAATGCAGAAACGACGTCTCAAAAACGGACAAGAATGAACCTAGAGGCAAAATGGCCATCTCTGAAAATATAGATTCAGATACTACTGAGCACACCGTTGGAGAGATAATAAAAAAAACCAATCAAGATGGACTCAAGAATCGCATGATTCGGAATCCGGACAAAGGAGAAACGACAAAACGACGAAAAACAGGCATACAAAGTAAAAAGGGTAAACTGGTAATTATCCAAAAAGATCCAAGTGCAACTGAGCACACCGTTGGAAATACAGAAAAAAAATAGTCAAGTTCAAAAAATTATTCACTCGATTTGGAGTCCGGACGAGGGAGAAAGGTCAAAAACAATAAGAGGGTCAACACAGCTACAGTGCTGCTGACCCACTGCTGCTACAACTGAGAGTAAAAAGGGGCATCTAAACAGACTTTTTTGGAAAAACTCAAAGAAGAAACCCCCTCCTAAATCGAGTTTTCTACTCTGATTCATGGATGGAAACAAAAAAAAAAAAATGCATTGCAAAATGCCCAGAATGCCCCCAAGAAAATCAAGTCAAGAGGGTGAAAATCAGTCCTAGCTACTGCCCAAGAAAAGGAAATGTGGCTTCGGGAGGTTTTTAAATTGCCTAAATTGAAAATGCAGTCTTAAATATACCCACAAGACCCCAGGAAGTTTCGGATTGGTCATCACACTTTTCAAAAATAAGTCGATGAATAGTACCCAGTACACTTGTATTAAAAATCAACAAAAACCTGGTAGCAAGGATTTTTCGGAAAAAAAAAAGGGTTTTTAAGGGCCAAAATGATGTTTTCTGGAAAAACATAAAGAAGAAACCTCTCCGAAGTCGAGTTTTCTACCTAACCACGTGAGCGAAAATGACAAAAACACATTTTGAAATACCCGAAATGCCCCTGGAACAGAATAGGGTAAAAACTCAAAAAAATGCAACCTTAAATTTTTGTTTCATCAAGAAGGGTATTGTTTACCAATGTGAACATTTAAGTATATGTAATATTATAAAGTAAACGTACTACAATGTCCTACGACCTCATGACATGTTGTATGTAAAATATGACCCTTCAATGCATGAAATCTCCTAACTTCCATAAGCAACAATGAAGTTAAAAATTTGCATACATATCACATAAGTGTCTTTGGCCCTTGGCCTCATTACATACAAGTCAAATACATTGCATAGAGTGTACTTATGTACACATTACATAAATGGAATCAAATATATACATTTTGACAAATAAGGCTATAAATGACATTTCAAGCCAACATTTATAAAAATTAAAATCTTCAAGTCTACAATCATCTAAGCAATGATGAACATCACGAACCAAGTCTTCGTACCTAAATAAAACCCCTAGTAACTTCGGGGTGAGTAAACAAGTTTACTCGTATGGAATGAACATACATCGACTTGATTTCTTTATAGATTTTTACATTAACTTGAACAATACAAAAGGGTTATGCCACCTAACGTCTATGTCGAAGTGAGACTCAGGGAGCATCCTAAGCTACCTTAGAGTATTTCTGGCATAAATCACATCCTTCATGCAATTCTAAACAATATAAGAACATGTTATTCAAAGCAACAAAATATAGATTCTCAAAGCCATCAACTTGAAATCTAAAATATGAATCAACTAAGATGGTTCATGCCACCTAGCATGTATGTTCCAAATGAGTCTAAGGAATCGTCCTAGGCTACATTAGAACAACAAAACATAAATCACAATACCAATGCAATTTAACCAACATTAGAACTTCCAATACAACACATAAAGCACGAATTCTCAAAGTTAACATCTTGTAACTTAAAATAGGAAATCATATAAGGAACAACAAATTACAACATCATCTAGTTATCAACTTGAAAAGAATTGCGAAATCAACAAGGTGGATACTTGGACATCACGCCGGATCAGACCGACACCAAAGTTACTTTAGGGTTACTAGCCCACGGGTAACCGCCCTATGTGCGCACTAGACTATAGGAGGACATTCCCCCGTACTAGAACCATATCCTAGCTGTAGCCCAACAACGACATCCCAAGTTTTCAAAATTAACAAGTTGTGTAACAACGTATATATCAACATGTATATACAAAATAATCAACTATCAACCACGCACAACCAAATTTGTAAACACATACAATACATGCTTTAAGTCCACCACTACTATAGCATGAAAGATGTCAAAAATAAAGTATGCAACTCATTATACAAGATAACAGTATATTCCATAAAGAAAACATGATCTTATGAATATAAATATAACAACAATATTACTCAATGCTCTAAACATAACCAAGTGAATATACAACAAGTCTAAGTCCATGATTTGAATATAGAAACAACTTCTAAAGCACAATTAGGTCCATGGAGCCATTAGATAGAATTTAATTAAACAAAAATCATTAAATTCTCTATATTTCAAACCAATATCAAATAACCTCAAATTTTTATATGTTAAACAATATAGCATGTTCATTACATATATCAAATCAAAAGAGCAAAATAAACAAGACATCATCATGTAGAATTTAATTAATTTAAATTAATTAAATCTTTAATTTTCAAAAGTTATTCAAATAATCCCAAATTAATATATAACAAGGATTAAGTCATGATAATCACTAATATCAAGTCAAAACTTAATTACATCAATGGAGTAATTAAATAAACTTCAATTACATAAAACTTAAATAAATCTCTAGATTTCAAAAGTTGTTCAAATTATCTCAAATTAATATATATCAAGCACTAAGTCATGGTCACACCATATATCAAATCTAAAATGGAATACAAACAAAACACAATTTACTAGAATTTAAATCAAATTAAATCCATTTAATTTCTAGATTTGAAAATTCATTTAAATCATCCCAATTTAATATATTCCAAAGATCAAGCTATGGCCATGCCATAAACCAAGTCTAAAATGAGTTATAAGCAACTATGATACATCATTTATTTCTCAAATTGACAAAAGAACATGCTTACAACTTATATATTCATACAAAAGCAAATAAAGCTACTTAGAAAATAAATTATAACACCCCCTACCTCATAAGAGGATTGTTTCTCTTGAATCCAAGGCTAGTAAACACAAAATGGTAAACCCTTCTAGGATTATGAAGAGGAAGATGAGGGGAACAAAAAGTATTCCCAAAGTCAAGCTTGGAAATCAATGGAAGGCCCTCAAAATCAAGGTCAAAGCTTAAGGCTTCAAGTTCCATCCATGGAGGCTAGGGCTTTCTTTACAAGAGAGGGAGGAGGTCAACACACATAAGTCTTGGTCAATTGCACAAAAACCCTTCTTTAAAACCATAATCCCAAAGTGGCCCAAAATTAATTGCAAGACTTAATTTGGAGCATACACTTGTCACTTATTCAAGCATCCATTGTAGGCTTAATCCTAAGCCTACACTTGTCAACCATCCAAGCCAGCAAGTGCACCTATCCTAGGTCAACAAGTGGTTCAATCTCCACCCTCCACGTGTCATGATCCAAGGTATCAAAATGTCCCCACACAAATGTCAACAAGTGGACCAATGAGAGTGTGACACTTGTCACACTTTTTCGAAAATTGCAAAAAGGTCATTTTCCAAAATATCTTCTAAATTAAATTGCAAAATGGTCCCCAAGACGAAAAATAATTACTTTATTTAATTACACTAAAACCCTATAAGTTAAGAATATTACAAAAAAAGTTATGCATCCATACCCTTTACAAGAATAATAAACACTTATCATACTTTTCTACAAAAGTGAGAATATAGATATCATGGAAACTAAATACTATGGGTGCATGCAAAGCCGAAATCAAATCCGAGCACAAAAAGTAAGGTTATGCAAAGAAAAATAACAAACGGGAAAAAGACAAAATATGAATAGTGTCACGAAAGTAAAAATGTGAAAATGACTCGATCCTCAAAGAAAGTTATCAATCCCAAGGAAAAAGTCTCAGAAACCATTTTCGAGCACTCGATATGACACTAAGTGATGGGAAACCAAACACAGAAGAGAAAAGATAACGGAAAAAATTTATCCAAATTTGATAAAAAAGAAAAGGAATGAAAATGACCGGGTCATTACACTTGAAGAGAAGGAACTCATGTTAATAGATCCAAATTCGGCACCAACAGAAACGGGGAAAGCTTGGATTATTGCACGACAAAATGAGATATTGGCATCTTTGAATTCATGGTCCACTCCAAAGTTCCCATAGGATTTTGTAATTCTTGTCTATTTATTTTCTTATTCTAATTTACGATATTGTATTGTTTAAGTTATTTTTTTTGTTTTGTTTAATTTGTTTTTATTTTATTTTATTTTATTTTATCCATAATGGACAATATATTGTTTCAAGTTCTAATATCAATCATAGTTTTTTTTAATAATTTACAAAAATATTGTTCAATTGAAAAATATTACTATTGAGAAAATATAGCCGTTAAAAATATAGCCGTTTAGGAAAAGTAAAAAAAAAAAAAAAATTAATTTTATTTTTTTATTATTATTTTTTTTGGAGAGCAAAAATTCGGAGAGGCTGATAGAGTGCATGTTTTTTGAGGTAAAACTGCTAACAGGACTCTTAGAATTGTTGATGTAGTTCTTAGAAAAGTTAATGTGGCTTTTTCAGAGAGCTCAAAAATTCGGAGAGCTAGTGCAGATAGCCTTACACAAGTGACATGGTCGCACGCACTTTAAATTTGCGGTGTGACATTTCGTTCACTGTAGAAGTAGAGGCCTCTTATTTGCTTACCGCCATTTTCATCATAAGCGGAGCGTGGTATGCTCACAATCATCAGGCCAGGCCACACAAGGAGATTTGCTTTACCGATTTCTCTTTCCCTCCCTCTCTCTCTCTCTCTCTCTCTATATATATATATATATATATATATATATATATATACATACACACACATATATTCCTCTCACTACATCTCTCTCTCTAAGATTGGAGCACGTAAAGATGGAGGAAGTCGACGAAACTGAAGCAGTACCTCAGGTGAACTTTAGATCTTCGCTTCGATTTCGATTTCGATTTCCTTTGCACTTTGCTTTTACTGTAATGCGACAAACATTCCACATTATGTACCTAAATGACCTTGATAGCAATGCACACGCTCACATATACTTTGAATCGTTCTTTCAATGGCATAAATTTATCATCTCTAATCCAGAGATTAACTTTTGAGCTCACATATATTCATTTTCAATATATATATATTTTTCTCTTTCTGACATATGATCACTCTGTTTGGTTGCTGAGAAAATGGAGGAAAATCACATATAAGGAAGTTCTATTTCTTTTTATTTTTTACTGTATTGATATGCCAAAAATAATGAGAAAGACAAAGAAATGCTTAACTTAACCTAGCAAGATTGTTTGTAGTAGGATCAATTGAGTGGAGGCTTTGTGTTTCATATCCTAATTAATGAAAAAAAAAAATTAAGATTCAATATTTTGATCTCCTACCAATTTCTAAGTTTTTTATGCAACTAAAAGGAGCGGTAATGTGGAGTTGTGGACTTGTTTAGTTTCACTTGAAGCTTTCACGGTATAATTTTGGGAGTGGAACTTATAAGATGAAAAATAACAGGGGCAGTGGACCGGTGGTGTATGCAGAAATGCAACAGCAGATGTAGTTCTTATTTTATTTTATTTTTTCTGTTTTGGTTTCTCAATGTTGTTCTGAGCGTTTTGTTTAAACGAATCTACTCTAATTTAATAATTGAAATGATATTCTATTTCTCGTAGTTTTTTCTTTTTCTTTTTATGGGGGGTGGGTGGGAGAGGGAGGTGGGGTTCATCAAATTATAGTTGCAGTGTGGGACAATACACAAAGATACACCATATACAAGGTTTAGGAAATCTAAAAAATTATAAATAATGGAAATTACAAAAATGGTTAAACAAAATAAAGTAATATGTTATCTAAAAGATGTAACACTGTTTATACTATTAACAAAAGCATTAGTGAGTCTGCTGCAAAATTACATAACATTACATGATAAATATTCAATACAATCCAATATATATATATATATATATGCAATAAATTCATCATCTCCAACATTATCCTCTTACCCCATTATGCTCCTCTATATCATTGTATTCTTATTGTTGCTGAGCATTCATTGTGTGGTCCAAGTAGAAGCTTATTTAGAAGTAGAAATTTATTAAATGCTTGTTAAATTCTCTCATATTTTTCATAATATTTATAATCTTGATATTGGTAATTGAATAGATATCACTTTTTTTATAGTATGGCTTTACATGTCCAAGATGATTTGTTCAACTCGTACTGGTATTGAACAAGTATCTCGATTTGTCACTCGATACATACTAATACGATGCCATTTGGATTAGTTATGGTATTACGTATGGTAATCGGATTGGAAGCCAGAAATTCATATTGCTATTGGATGATATGTCTCTGTACCGACTATATCTGGAACCATGAGAGAGAGAAGAACGAATAACTTATATAATTGTCGTGGAGCTCTGTCTATTATCTGTTGTGATTTGAGTGAGACCTTGCCACTTTTATCACTTCAATTCCCAAACATAGAAGTATTGGGAACGTCTTAAGTATAAGCTGGAGATAATGGAGGCTAATCCAGAGACAAAGAGAGCACTGATAGTACTAGTAAATCTTATTTTAAGTCATCAGATTGAAAGATTTAATAATATTATCCAATTTACTAGGAAGTTTGTATTTATTTGCATTTGGGGCTAACTTAAGCTGCTGCTACCTACTGATTACTGCTTAAATGAGGAAAACTGATACTAGTTCCTTAACTGCTTAGAAACTCTCACAGGCACTTTTTGTTCATTTACTGCTCCCTCCATACAAAATCTACAAATTAAGTTGGTATTTGAAGTAATGTAGTGTTGTGTTAAGCCACAAAGGCAAGCTCCAGATGAATTGACTTATAGAACCAACTCAAACTGCTATTTGGAGCACAAGCCTGCACCTGCAAAGTTTCTCATCATAATAACCTTCAAAGAGTATTGTTATGTTCTATTCAATTACTTTTTTCAAAAGTTAGAGAACTTACAATAATTGTCATCAAAACTAAGATATACTTTTTTTTTTGGTGGTTATGTTGTGTAACATAATCTGTATCTTGTACATATAATGTGCTTCTACCTTTCATACACTTTAATTTGTTGGCCTTATATGCAGGTCTATATGGCTTGTGTTGTGCATGGTCATCGGTGAGTTTCATATGACCATTACTATTTTTCTGTAACTTTTCTCAGCATAATTATGTTTTAATTGTTAAAGAAAAGTTAAAAATAATATCTGAGAATGTAATTGGTGATGATGAGATGGGGTTGTGTGAAGATTGGTGCTTTGATGGAAATCTTTGGAAAAATAAATGTCCAAAACTGATCCTACAGATTTATAGGTTAACTATGTCATAGAAAACCATTGCTGGTATTGGAGTTTTGCTCTGCTGCAGTCTTCAGTAGTCTTTCTACCTGTTTTTTAGCCTCTCCATCTTGTCTTGCTTGCTTCTGTTAAATTTCTATTGTGCTTTATTGCTTTCTGTGACGCTTGTTAGATTTTGTTGTTTTGGGATTTCCTCTTTTGTTTGTTTGGAGTTGTAGCTTTGGCTTTGTCTAGGGATATGTCCCTTTAGCTTGTGTACTATGTTTCACTCTAATAAATTTATCTGATGTACCAATTTTTATTTTTATTTTTTAAATTGTTATGGAAAACAATTGTCATCTAGTGAAACCAAATTAGGCAACTGTAGTCTTTATGGTAAGCTATCTTGTAACATGTAATTTGTGCTAGATTACTGAAACATTTATTGACATCTGAAAGCTTCTTATACTTTCTTTAATGCATTAGTTATTGGAACCCAAACCCCATCCCCAACCTTCTAAGATATTCAGATGAATGGGAAGTTAGATTAAGGGAATAATTCTAGAAATTGAGGGATGTTGTTGATTTAATTGGAATTCCTCATGAAAAAGTTGGAATGTATTTTTGACATTTTGGGAAGGTGGACTGAATAGAACAGACCCTTCTAACTGTTCCTTTTACTGTTTTACCATTAGCAATCAGGAAGTGGTTTTTTCGATAATTAGCAATCACAAAGTGTTGCTTGTGAAAACTCCACACATCTATTGTTTAAATAGAAATTGGTGCAAACGATATGTTCATTCGCTTCTCTAACTCTTAGTTACCCCTTTTGACATAGATTATGCTCTCTCTCTCTTGTTCAAGCCATGACAACCACTGGTGTGGAGATAGTTATCAGTCTCCTTTTCTCTTTATCTGAATCTTTGGATGACTTATGATACATGTGCCTAGTGAAATACCTTCATAATGCAGTTCAAGTGATGGGACTTCAAAATCAAGTTACCCAACCTATTTGAATCTAGATGCTTTTACTTTTAAATACTACTGGAAGGTCAATATAATTTCTCATAACAGATAGGATATGGTCTTACATATTATCTCTCATAGATTTAACGTTTTATTTGATTAAAAAATAAATGGATTTGAAAACTTTTGTTGTCAGAGTTGGAGTTTCTTATTATGATTCCAGTATTCGCCAACTCTATGTGATGGAAGTTTGGGAAGATGGTAGTGGGGATTTCCCCCTGCTTGATATGGGTACGAGTTTCTTATCTCTTTGGTAGGGAATGAATTCAATTTCATATGGTTTTACCAATTTATCATTGTGTCCTGAGATTTGAAATAAAGGTCTTTGGTTTGACCACATAATTTAGCCTTTTACATTTGTGTTTCTCTTTGTATCATATTTACACTGCCATATGGCATTCATTTTCGTTTATCTTATTATACAAAATTATTGACTTACTACGGTTCAGTAAAATATCAAGCCGTGCCCCTGATCATTTATACAAGCACTAAAAGTGAAGAATCCTTTTTGACTGCTTTACAACGACATGGTATGCTTCTCAACACGTTGTTTGACTTGTTTAACTATCAGCTTGTGGGTTTTGATTACTTTTTGAAGTGATGCAGATGGAACAAGTGAGGGTCCTGCCGTGAAGCTTATGAAAAGTTCAATATTCAGCTTTGAGCAAGCATGGCACAGGTATAAAAGCATTAGCAAAATATTGTACCGATTTTTTTCTTTTCATTTCCTTTTTTCTATTCCTGTATATACTGAATGTGCTTTGTAGTTAACTCCTCCTCATCGTCCTCCTGGCTTTAATCCCATACGAATGGGGTCGGCACTTTGGAGTTAACTCTCTAGATCTAATAGTTGTACTGGACATTCTTAACAAAGTGTTCAATAAATGTTTTGATAATGATATGATCATTCAATATTGTTTGTAGACTCGACAGATCTTGGAAGAGATTTTCCTTGTTTCTTTCACATGGTAATCTGAACTGAAGTTGATTCTTTGAGACTTCAACAAATGTGTCTTGTTCAAATGATCATAATAACAAGAAAACACAAACAATTTGCATGTTTTTTTCCATCACATAACTGGCAGATTCTTCTTCCCTCCTGCTTAAATGAGGAAAGTTCTTTCTTGTTCAAAAGTATAATTTGATTGACATTCTACTGATGCTTGGACAGACAGGTATCTGTGTGCTTTACTTTTCCTTAAACATCATATGATACAATACTTCTAGTCAATAGTCTGTGTGGTGCATATGCACTGGAACTTACCTAAAAGATGTCCAATTTACCTTAAAAATATCAATATTTTTTACTTGGATGTCATGATCACCTCCCCACTTTGATTGATTGATATCTATTATTGTCATGATCCAAATCCTTAGAATCTGATTCGTGATAAAAAGGAAACAAGCCAGGCTCTACAACCTACCCTCCTTAGAGAGGTTTCGTCCCCGAAATCTACCTTCCTTAAGGAGATACCACCCTGAATAAGGATTATTTCACATTAGGTTCCACACTTGGGGCTTGCGTGAGGGCCCGGTTTGTGTCCTTTCCCGTTCATGATTCGGATCCTTTGGATTTGGGTCGTGGCAATTATTGTTTTGAAGGTTGGTGGTAAACCGGTAAAACTAGATTCTTGATACAAGAACAACAAATACAACAAAGACCAAGCCTTTTCCCAATTACTTGGGGTCGTCTACGTGAATCCTATGTTTCCATTCTGCTCTATTGAGTCCATAGCTTCAGTTAATCCATATGCTATCATATATTTCCTTACTAACTCTACCCACGTTAACTTTGGTCTTCCTCTTCCCCTAGCATTACCCTCAATGTGGACTATATCGCTTTTCCTAAACGGTGCACTTAAAGGTCTTCGTTGCACATGTTCAAATCATTTAAACCTTTTTCTCTCATTTTATCTCCAATTGGTGCTACTCCAACCATCTCCACGAATGTGATCATTTCTAATTCTATCCTTTCTAGTCTTACTGCACATCCATCTCAACATTCGCATTTCTCCCACGCTCACTTTTTTCAAATGTTGTTTCCTAGCTGCACAACGTTCGGTACCATAAAGTATGGTAGGTCTAATAGATGTTCTATAGAACTCCCTTTTCAACTGTAAGGGGATACACTTATCACTCAATATACTAGATGCACTCCTTCACTTAACCCATCCTGCCTTGATTCTATGATTAAAGTCATCTCCAATTTTCCCTCACTATGAATATTTGAGCCTAAATAACGAAAATGTTCACTTTTTTGTACCTCTTGATTCTCAATCGTCACTACATCCTCATTTGTGTTTCTAGATTTACTAAAATTACACTCCATATATTCAGTTTTATTTCGACTATCTTAAACCGTTTTAGTTCTAAAGCTTCTCTCCAAACCTCTAATTTGGCATTAACTCCTTCTATAGTCTCATCAACTAAAACAATATCATAAGCATAAAACTAGATTCTTGATCCATCTAAAAATGTCATACGCCATACCAGTATGATTTATAGATTCACTTTTACAGAATTCCTTCTCTGTTATTGCCATGGAGATAAAAGGGTATTCTAGTCAAGATTTCTAACAAATCAAGAACCAAACAGCTCCTTTAACTGTTGATTTGGTGAAAATCTATTCTAAACTTCAGCAGGCATGGAAGCAATATCTTTCTACTCATCTGTTGAAACCATAAAGCTGGATCTATGGATCTATAGGATGTGTGCAGTTTTTGGTGGAAGAATGTAAATTGGTCTCTTCAAGTTTAGTCTGCTTGTAGTTTAAATTCTCAAACTCACATTTCATCATTCTATGTTAATTGTGTTAATCACCATCTACTCTAAAAGCTTAAGTTGTTAGAGAGGGTGTAACTATAATATTTAAATCCATCAACACACCCCCTCACATGTGGCATTCTTTTGGTACAACAGGTGTTTCAATATTAATTATCAGGGTGACAGTGAGGTTTGAACACAGGACCTTACCTGCTCTGATACCATGTTGACAACCATCTACTCTAAAAGCTTAAGCCTGTTAGAGAGGGTGTAACGTTAATATTTAAATCATTCAACAAATTGTTGGTGTTGCTGAGTTGAGAATGTCAAGTGTGTCTTTGTTTTTGACTCTTTGGTATAGCTACACCCAAGTTGCACTCTCTCTTCCTCTGAACTTCCTTTTTTCCAAATTTTTTTAATTTTCTGATTTTGGATATTACAGATTGATATACCTCCGAGTAACAGGGATGCATGATGGATTAAACATCAAGGAGAGAATCTGTTTTGTAAGAAAAACTCACCCTTGTGATTCTGGGTATTGATTTTATGTAATGTATTCTATTTCATTGTTAAGATAGGAATTGCATGAATGCACAAAATATTGCACAGCAAAAAGGATTAACACTTGCTTCTCTTTGTCATGCAAATATGCATTAAATAATTAAATAAATGATGCAAGTTGCAGACAGCCCAACTGTGAGTTGACGAATTTGAGAAGTTTGAAAAGCCAAATTTTGAGAAGAACAAGAATTCTTAATTTAACAACTCAACTGTACAAACTATTTTGGACTGATTACATGAATCTGCATGATTGTATATCCTTTTTGACTAGTTCAACCAATGTTAATTTGTTCTATTTCTTTCCCTAGAAAATAGTTTTGCTGAAGTTATGGCTCTTAATAGGGTGGAAGGACGAAGTGAGGTTAATCTTGTGGAGACCTCAAATAGTTGGGTGAAGTTTTGTTGAGTTGAGTTAATTGTTACATCGAGTTATTGTTCTTCGCAGATTAGCTTATTAGGTTCCTTAAGTCATGGTCAACTCATGTTTGAGTTGTCAATCGCATACTCCCTCCGTCCCACATTAGTTGTTCACTTTACTTTTTGGACTTTTTAAGAGGACATGCAATTAATGCATTGTCCCCTTTTAAAATTACCAAGTTATCCTTCTAAGTTTAAAAATGTGTATATTACTAGGTTTTGAGATTTTTGAAAACTTAAAGGGTAATTATGGAAAGGTAGCATTGTTTTTCTTTCACTTTTCAAATGGGACAACTCATATGGGACATTCCTAAATGGAAAGATGGACTGCTAACATGGGTCAGAGGTAGTATTATGCAATCACTTGATGCATATTCAAATGACAAAGGCATAGTAAATGTTATCCTTCCGCAGTGCAATGTGTGTGTGTCGCTCTACTGACATATTTGCATATCAATTCATCAATTAATGTTCTTTGAACTATTGAGTTTATACTGTGTGCGAGTGAGAATTCCTTTAAACTTTTTAATATTTCTTCCTAATTTAATTAGCCTACACAACTTATAATGGTGAGACATCAAAGAGAATGTTAAGAAATAAATCTCCCTAAGTTAAGAGAAGTCCTAATTATGTTTTTTTCCTGGGTAAGATGAAATCCTAATTATGTTTCTATGTCAATAAAGATGTATGCATGTAACTAAACATTGTAAGAATTAAATTTTAATGATATTGCACTTTTCGCAAAGACGCTTGACCATGTTTGACTTTTCTCTCTTCTCTCTCTTCTTCTTTTGACGTTGGATTCTTTCACTCCGGCGTCTGTTGTTTATATTTCTATGTTCTTTGCAGTTGGATCTTGGTTCTTAGGCACAGATTTCTGTTATGCATCGCTCTTATCTTAGTGTTGCAACCTTACCTCGTCTCAATTTCAATGGTGATATTAAATGTTGTTCTGTTGGTGGTGATTCGGTCTTTAGGGTCGATCATCAAAGCATCATGGAACGTGAATCTGTCTTGCGATGATGCTTGGTTGGTCGCTTTGATAGAGATGTGGGGAGTATTGAAGGGATTAAGGCGTGGGTGACTAAAGCTTGGAAGGTTTCTTGCGGAGTGAAAGTTTCGTCCCTTCCCGATGATCTTTTTCTGTTCAGGTTACCGTCGGAGCATGAGGCTTTAAGGGTTCTGGATGAAGGAAGGAAAAGATGGGGCGATGCATTGCTATCCATCGACATCTGGTATTTCGAGTTTGGTTGCTCTGCAGTGAGAGATCGTAGTTTTCGGAGGGTAATGTTATTTGGCTTGCCCCTTCACCTGTGGTGTCTCAAGCTATTTGAAGAAATCGGAAATCTATGTGGTGGATTTAGAGGCGTTGAGGCGGATGTGGCGGTGAGTGGAGAGAGAATCCTTCTTAACGTCTCCGCTGGAAAAACGATACCGGAGTATTTTTTTGTTGAGGATCAAAGAGTGGCCTTTAAGGTCATCTTGATTGAGGAAATTTAACCTCGTATCCTCCCGAAGTCTCACTATGGCACTGGGGAGAGTTCTCACATGCCGCGTGTTGAAACGATTATTAAAGGAGGTCGCCAGAATTTACAGTTCCGGCAGAGCCTTAAAGGAAGTAGGAGACTGCATGCACACGCGCCTGAAGCGCGTAGAAAGGGTAGGTACAGGGAGTCGTATCAATCCTGTCCCTATTCAGCGCCCACAATCTCGATATGCCAGTTTCACAAATATTCAAACACGTGGCACTGATCGTGGCATTAATGAAACCACTAATGCATTTGGCTCTAATGGGCTTAAGTTTGGGCCCGATGTACGCTTTAGGCTCTCTTTGTCTAATGGGCTCACCCACAGCACTTAGAAATTTAAAAGGGCCGTTAATTGGGGACCCAACAATTAGTTATCAATTTCAGTACTGAACGAGAAGCCTAATTCTCTTATTTTGACAAAGCCCAAGCGTAATGAGCGACATTTGAGCAACCCAATGACCAACATAACGCGGGGGCCCATTTCTTTTCTTAAATCAAACCCCAGCCCACCTCACTCTCATTCTTCGCAGAGTCCACGCTTTAATGGCTCCTCCGGAACTGTTTGGACTTCGCCGGCGAAGAAGAGGTGGATAAAGCTTTCTGTTGCTAAGACTGGTGTTAGACCTGCTGAAAAAGGGTTTCGGCATTCTCAATGTTGTGCTAACATCTCTGTCAATCCACAGCTGAAGGGAAGCACTAGATCTCTGTCTCTGGGCTCTCATGGAGTGCGGTGGTCAAGAAAAGAAAAGCAGAAGTGGGTTTCTTCCAATTGTCCAGTTATATCTTCAGATCTTCAGAATCCCTCTTCTGATCCACCCTCTTCTTCTATCCTTTCCTGCGAGATGATGAGGGGTGACGCAGCTGTTACAAAGAAGATGGATAGGTTGCCTTTTTCGAATTCTAAATTGAATGGCAAAGAGTTTGTTTCTCCTGGCCAATTGGTTACCGTAGGCAGTGAAGTCAATGATCCCTTTGAGGGAGTAACGATTTGTGTGGGAAAAGATTTGCAGTTTAAATTATCCAGTGATGAGGCTGCAACTCTATTCAAAGAGCTATGATTAAATGTTGCATTGCAAGGTCTCAAATGTATGCCTTCTGCAACGGACAAGGAGAATGTGGTTGGCAGTATTGTTGGGTTGGGTGATGATGTTACAGATTCAGATTCTGCTTATGAGTTCGATAGAACAATTGAAGAGGAGTTGGCTAATGAATTGGGGTCTACCCAACAGGTCTGTTCTAATAAGTTTCAACCCTGGCTGAATGATGATTCTAACATATCAGTGGTGGAACCCCTGGCAGTGGTGAGACCTGATGATGAGGTTACTGATTTGGGGAAGGATTGGGTGGTTGATAATATTAAAGCTACCAGTGAACTATTGGGAGTATCTTCAGAGGTAATAACGCTCAGACTTTATCTCTTCTTTAAGCAATTGTGACTGGAACCGAGATAGCAGTCACTAATGAAGTTATAAATACAAAGCCCATATCGTCTTGGAAAGGGATTCACGAGATTAAGAATCTCATCTCTGACGTTAACTACGATAAGAAGAAAGGCGTGGTGATGGAAAGGGGAAGGACTAGGAGCAGGAGTTTGAAGAAGGGGGGAGGGGAGTTAATCTCAACTGGTTTTTAATGAAGCTACGAATCATTACATGGAATGTTCGTGGTCTCAATGACCCGAATAAGAGGAGGGTGGTGAAGGCAGCTTTAAGAAAATGGGGGGCTCAGGTTGTTTGTTTGCAAGAAACTAAGATGGAATCCATTACTGAAGGGGTGGTTAGAAGTTTGTGGGGAGGAAGGTTTGTGGAATGGGAGGCTTTGGATGCTATAGGTTCTTTGGGGTGGTATCTTAGTTATGTGGGACAGTAGGTGGTTGTCCAGAATGAATGTGTGGAAGGGGAGATTTTCTGTTTCCTGTGAGTTTCAGATGGAAGAGGATAATTTCAGATGGCTCTTTTCTGGGGTTTATGGTCCGGTTGTTGATACTGACAGACCCATTTTATGGGAGGAACTAAGCCACGTTCAAGGTCCATGCTCTTTACCTTGGTGTTTGGGCGGGGATTTCAATTCAGTTAGGTTCCCATCAGAGAGGTCTACTGGGGGAAGAAGGTCAATAGATATGGATCAGTTTTTTGACTTCATTGATAAGCACCTTCTCATTGATCTACCATGGAAGGTGCAACCTATACTTGGTCTAGTGGTAGAGACCCAGTTACTCTTTCAAGATTGGATAGATTTTTGATCTCTGGGGAGTGGGAAGAAAAATTCCCGGATATTGTTCAGGCGGTATTAGAAAGGGTTACCTTTGATCATGTGCCTTTAGTTTTGGATTGTGGGAGATTGCGCTCTCGGAAAACCCCATTCCGTTTTGAGAATATGTGGCTAAGAGTGGAGGATTTCCAAGGGACAGTTCGTTCATGGTGGGAGGGAGTGATCGTTTCAGGTGTACCCAGCTTCATATTAACACAGAAACTTAGAGCTCTCAAATTCGCTCTTAAGCAGTGGAATAAGGATGTTTTTGGCAATCTTGAATGGAGGAAGAATAGAGTCTTTGTTGATTTTTCTGAGATTGATCGGTTAGAGGAGGCGGGTGGGAATATGGAGTCTCTTTGTACTAGGAGAGCTTCTTGTCAGGCAGTACTAGCTGAGATTGTTTGCATGGAGGAGATTTAGTGGCGACAAAAATCCCGGGCTCTTTGGTTGAAAGAGGGAGACCGTAACACAAAATTTTTCCACAGACTTGCTAACACCCACATAAGGAGTAATCACATAGGATGTATACGGGTAGAAGGCGTGGATTTGTGGAGGGAGGAAGAGGTGCGTAGTGGGATCGTTTCTTTTTATCAAAAACTTTATATAGAACCTTTAGGTTGGCGACCCAAGCTTGATTGTCTTCCTTTTGAGGCTATTTCTGAGATGGAGAGAGATGGATTAGAGCTTCCTTTTACTGAAGAAGAAGTTCTAAAGGACTTATCTAGTTGCAATGGGGATAAAGCCCC